GACAAGTGTTTTCTTCCTTTGAAAAAAAAAGATTTGTAGTTGCATCTTTCAATTCTCTCTCTTCTCCCACTCCTTCCTCAGTATGGTGAAAATCCTAACAAGCAAGAGTCCAAGCTGCCTACAGTCAAATTTACTGCACACTCTTATTATGATGGAAGACGTGGTATGGGTTGAAACTACAAGCAGAGGTGCAGCACCATTACTGTGAAAATTAAGGTTCTCCAATACATAGCATAGAAAAAATTGTGTGGCTGTAAATATATTGAAAGAATTAAAAATTATTAATTGATTAATTAAGGCTGTCCTTTGTTCAGAACTGCCTTTATGTGTTGTGTTTTGCAGCAGAAGTCCCATGTTGAAGATTTCAGAATGCCTAGGATTGTACTGAAATAGGAGCTCAGCCCTGTGCTTGATGTTTTCCAACTCTGCCACAGAACAGCTTGGAGTAAACAAGTCTGTTATTAACATGTGGCTCAAAAGCAGTTTAAAAACACAAAAGCTCCGACATATATTTTTGTCTTAAAAAGACACATTGAGAATTCTTTGCTGCCTCAGGAAATAAATATGCACCTTGATGGGCCATGCCCTGTTTTGGGAATAAGTTACAGAGAATTTCTTTTCTATTATTCCAAAATAAACGATCATGACCTGCCCAGGTGTTCCTTTCATCTTTGCAGATTATTTCTTCTCATTTTTTCAGCTCACCCAGACCAACTGCATCACAAACAAGAGAATGATGCATTACAGTTGAAGATGGCAAAAGTTTGCCTTCCTCTTACTCAAGCAGTTCGAGCAATAATGGTAGTTTTGACATTTAATTCTTGCATCCTTCTAAGGCCATGAGGTCTTTGCTAGCTGAAAATTCAGGTATTCAGAATGCAGGAGAGATCCTTGCTGGCCGGCAGAGCTCTGCTGATCCTGCATTGTAATCGTTACAGAGTAGGACAAGTAATGTTGTAACAATCTCCTTCCATTAGTTTTCCTCTTCTAACATGCAAGTTTCCTGCCCACCTTAGTTTGTTGATCAGGAGGTTGGCAGGCAGGAATGAGTCAAGTTAGAGCATCAGCTCTTGGTGGAGTAGTCTTCCCGGCTCAATGCTCCCAAATCAAAACAAGCTTCTGCAGGAGATTCCCTCTGTGCCTCGCAGTGGATCTGTTTTGGCTCCAGACCCAAATATTTTGACCCCATGGAGGCCCAGCACAGCTCTGGTGTACAGAGCTGAACTCAGGGACTGTCCCGATGTGGGCAGCACTCAGCTCCTTCACCATGTGGAAACCTCTCTGTTAGTGTCCATCACTGATATCTTGTGGGGCCACCAGCTCCCAGAAGCACATCTTCTCTAGTTCTTTCTGGGCTTTGAGAAAAGCACATGGGTTCCTAAATGCAAAACTCCCATCAGCTCCAACAGGGCAGCATCAGGCTTTTTGCATCTTCTGCTGTGTTGGCTTTCACTCAGCACCACCAGGCTGCATGAATTAGCCCGTTCCTAAAAAGGATGAAGAGAAATTTCGTGTGGCTGCTGATGACACTGCCAACTCTATGTCTCACCTAGCTGGACAAGGGGAAAATAAAGAGAGAAAGGCCGTGCAAGTCTGAATTTGGCCATCTCTCTTCTCAGACACATCTGTTTCCATGCAAGCAAGAAGAAAATGGGTGACTAACACACAGCTCTGTAGCTCAGCAGCTGGCCCCTGGATCCTCCTCCATGGCACTAAATGTGTTCCTGGGAAACACAAGGTTGAGATTTTAAATGAGGAATTAATGAAAATGCACTCTTTTTCCTGCTTGTTGTCCCTTTAAATTCAGTTTCCATGGAAACAGCTATGGAAAGGCTGCCTGGAGGGAGCTAGGAGAGATCTCTGCCTGGCCGCCTTCCCCTCTGGGCTGCCAGCTGAGCCATCCCAATTGTCAGCTTTTACAGAGGCTTTTGCTATTGTCATTTATGCTCGGAATATGCGTGATGACTCCTCATGGATTCCCTCTCTAAGGAGTCCTGAGGTGGTCAGCCATGCTCCTGTCACCTGCAGCTGGGCTCTTTGCAAGTGGAGCTCCTCTCCTTCCATGCGGTGGAGCACAGGCTCATCCGAACCCCCGCGACACCGCTTTGCTGCAAATGTCACCCCTGTTAGAGACATCCATTCCACTGCTTTTTTCTTTTTGAAAGTGGTGGTGCATGTGATCTGAGTACACAGGCTGAGCTGGGAGCAGTGGCAGAGGGACAACTTTGTTGTTAATTCAGTGTTTATCCCGCGGGAACATTGGAGATCCCTCCTGGAGTACTGCATCCAGTCCTGGGGTTCCCAGTACAAGGCAGACACAGACCTGCTGGATAAGGTCCAGAGGAAAGAAACGAAAATGGTTAGAGGGCTGGAGCACCTCTCCTATGAAGACAGGCTGAGAGATTTGGGCATGTTCAGCCTGGAGGAACAGAAGGCTCAGGGAGACCTTTTTGCAGCCTGCAGTACACTAAAGAGGCTTACAAGAAAGACACTTTTTATTCAGGGCCTGTAGTGAAAGGACAAGGTGCAATGGTTTTAAAGAGGGTAGGTTTAGACTGGACATCAGAAAGAAATGTTTCTACATGAGGGTAGTGAAACATTGGAACAAATTGTCCCAGAAATTGTGGATGCCTTATGCCTGGAAGTGTTCAAGGCCATGTTGGATGGAACCCTGAGCAACCTGGTCTAGTTGAAAATGTCCCTGCCAAGGGCAGGGGGTTTGGAACTAGATGGTCTTTAAGGTTCCTTACAACCCAAACTGTTCTATGATCCTGTGAGCAGGATCCAAAGCAGATGGTCTTTGTCTGTGTAGATCCACTCTTTTTCCAGGTGAACAAAACCAAAGGGTCTTAAACCTACACTGTTTGGTGGTGACACAGTCCCAGAAAATGGGGCTGGTCTTACAACTGCTGACATGCATCCGCTTCCACTTTTATTAGCATTTGAGGAGCCTCTAGTGTGTCTATGCAAGGTTGTCTTAAAGAAAACTTTTTCAGTGGAATTCTCAGTGGAAGTTGACTAACAATATAAGATCTATCAACCCTCCCAGCTGAGTTCTGCAAACACAGTCCCACTGTAAAAACAAAAGCAATTTTTAAATGTAATTAATTTTAAATGTAACTAATCCTAATCATCCTAATAGTTCAGTGTTAGCTGTTATTGCTTCAGATACATATAAAAACATTGTCCTCCTTGGTTACCTAAATGCTTGCCTATAATTAGAAAGGCAGACTATCATATCTGAGATGTAATATTGAGATAATTTTTGTGAGCCGGATGAGCAATTTCTTGCATATTGTAACAGAAAAAACCCTCTGCTTGCTGCTGGTACAGACTCAGATGGAGTATAACCTTCACTGTTGAACAAGCTGACTTCAAAGAGGATGTAAACTTGTTCTGGGGGGAATTCAGGGAGCAATGGACATAACCAGAGGTCTGGAAAATATACCTATGAGACAGAACTGAACAAACTGAAGTTATTTAGTATGAGAGGAGGCAAATCAAAGGGCTACATCTCAGTAAAAGGATAAAGTAAAGAAGAGAGGAAAATAATAAAATGCTTTCCATGCCATAGAATCATAGACTGGTTTGGATTGGAAAGGACCTTAAAGATCATCTAGTTCAAACCCCCTGCAGTGGAGAGGGACACCTTCCACTATCCTAGGTTGCTCAGAGCCCTGGTCAACCTGGCCTTGAACACTGCCAGGAATGGGGCATCCACAACTTCTCTGGGAAACCTGTGCCAGTGTCTCCAGCATGTCCATGTCTTTCCTGTGCTCACAGTGGACAGAAGGTAGATAACAAGGTTAAACTGCAAAGGGGGAAAACTTCCCCAGAGATAGAGAAAGTAATAAAATAAAAACTTGGGTTTTTCTAAGCCAAATACCCTCATCTCAAAGTAGCATGGGCAGGTGCTTTCTGTCTCCTGACATTTTCAGTGTCTGAGATGCTCTCCTATCTTCAGAGAGCCTGTTCCGACATTTCCTTGTGAGTTCCCTTTCTGGGAAGCTAAGCTTAATTCTTTACTTTTTATTCCCAGTAAACAATTCACCAGCTGTGTTTTCCTCACTTTCGTGGCCTTTGGGCACACCATGATGTTCTGATCCCTGTCACAGGAGCTGCTCCTCTAGCCACCATTTCCCTCCCACACAGAAGGGCACCGTCATGGTAGTGCCTCCTCTCTCCAGGCTGTTCCTCCAGCTCCCCTAGATCATTTGCCTGCTGCTGTCTTTTTTCAGCACGCTGGGATAACTCTTTTGGTAAAAGGAGGGAGTAACTTCCTGCTCTGCGCTGGTGCTTGAGTCCTGTGTGCAGTTTTGGGTGCCACAATATAAAAAAGACATTAAGCTGTTAGAGAGCATCCTAAAGAGGGCCATGAGGATGGTGAAGGGCCTTGAGGAGAAGCCGTGCGAGGAGCAGCTGAGGTCCCTTGGTCTGTTCAGCCTGGAGAAGAGCGAGGGGAGCCCTCAGTGCAGTTACAGCTTCCTTGTGAGGGAAAAGGAGGGGCAGGCACTGATCTCTGCTCTGGGGTGACAGTGACAGGACCCCAGGGAATGGCCTGAAACTGTGTCAGGGGAGGCTTAGGTTGAATATCAGAAAAAGGTTCGTCACCCAGAGGGTGGCTGGGCACTGGAACAGCTCCCCAGGGAAGTGGTCACAGCACCAGCCCAGCAGAAATGAAAAGGCATTTGGACAGTGCTCCCCGGCACAGGGTGTGACACTTGGGGATATCCTGTACAGGGCCGGGAGTCGGACGCGATGACCCCTATGGGTGCCTTCGCACCCTGGATATTCTGTGATAGTGGAACTTTCTGCGGCCACCACCCATTCCTGCCCCTCCCCACGGCCCCGCCGGGGCGGGGACCCGAACCCGCGGCCCGACGCAGCGAGGGCCCGCCCCGCCTGCAGTGCGAGCGGAGGAGATTTGTCCCTCACCGGCCGCTGTCTGCCGGGTGCGCTCCGCTTCCGTGCTCGCCGCTTACTCGTCTCGTCCGCCGCCCGGCCCGGCTCAGCCGCTGCCCCGCCATGAGCGACAAGGGCGAGCTGGACCTCACCGGCGCCAAGCAGAACACGGGCATGTGGCTGGTGAAGGTGAGGAGCCGCCGCCGCGGCCCCGGGCCCGGCCCAGCGCGGCCTGTGGCAGCCGGGCCCCTCCTTGCGTCCTCGCCCCACGTGCCCGGGGTGGGCGCTCTGAGTCCGGGGTTGCCCGCGTCAGGCTCGCCCTGTGGCCTGGGACACCCACTGTGCTTGTTCCCCTTCTCGGGGACAGCATCGGGTTGGGCCCTGACGCTTGCTGAGTAAAGGAGACATTGCAGGGAAAGTTGGGCTGCGGGGGAGCTGTCACAGAACCAGAATGTTGTGGGGTTGGAATGAACCTTAAAGATCATCAGTCCCAACCCCCGTTGCGGTGGGCAGGGACATCTCCCATTAGACCATGTTGCTCAAGGCCTTATCCGGCCTGGCTTTGAACATTTCCAGGGATTGGGCATCCACAGCTTCTCTGGGCAACCTGTGCCAATGTCTCACGACCCTCATAGTAAAATATCTCTTCATCTCTTCATTGTCCTTGGTAGTGGTTTGTGACAAGCAACAAACGTGGCAATATAACTTTTATTTCCCCAAGACTTAGAGAGTTGTAAAAAGTTTTGAGTGCACCCAGATTCACACCCTGATTAAAAGCCTGTCCACATCCAGCGAGGAAAGTGAATGCCAATGTCCTGTCATTACAGCTCCCTTTGGTGCTAGTGGAATACAGCTGTAGTGGAGGGGCTGTAAAAAGGTAGCAAGGGTGTAAAATCAAACCTTTTTGGTGCAGGGCCAGACTCCAGTCTGATGCCACCACTAACAGGCTGGCACTGCTCTGTTGCCTGGAGCGAGTGTCTTGTGGTCAAGATATTTTGCTGCCAATACCAAGCATTGATTTCAGATTTCAAGACAGAGTAACTTGAAGCTGATGGAGGAGCATGTGCCTTGCCTGCTTCGAGTCCTCTCTGGGCTTGCTCCTCTTTTTCCAGACCTATGTTTATTCTGTCTTGGGAGAAACCCTTCCTTCCTCCCCTTCCTCCTTTAGGAATAGGTTCAGACCATCAACTTGAAAAAAAGGATTGTACCCAAATACTAGTCCTGGGTAGTGAGGAGGGATCTAATACCATCATACTACAACTACCAGAACTTCCTACTGTGGCCCTTAAAAGTGGTTGAGGGTTTCAGACTTGCTTTGCTGTGCAGAATTTTTGGTGGGCAGGTTGTTGCACCTGGCCTCCTCTTCTGTACGGACACCTGAGTGTGTTGTGTCATGAAGCCACAATGAACACTCTGCAAGTGCTCTAATTGTAGTAGCTTTTCCGGGGCACTATCAATGAATGTTGGCAGCAGAAGGCTGCAAAAATAGATCATGACATGCTGAGTGACAGGATGATAACATGTCAGATGAAATTAAGAGTTGAAAGATCTAATCTGGCCTGCACAGAGAAAAACTGTCCTAATTATATGTACTCAGCAGTTGGGTTTCTGCTGGTTGTTGTCGTTCAGGAGGAGTGTTATTTTCTGTACATGGGGATAACTCTATAAGAACATGTCAAATGAGCTGAGTCAATATTGGACATGATTACAAAAGACACAGAAAACAAAAGAGAAAATATTATTGTACCATCATGTTGCCTCTATCCAGGGTGCTCTGTGTAGCCGTGGTCTCATTCTCCCTGCTGTGGAAAGTGTACACTGGACCTGGGAACAGTGCAGAGGAGAGCACCAGGTCTGGTCTTGGCAACAAGGAATGATGGCTTCTAAACCATGGAGCTCCTAAATATGTTGTTACCTTTTAGGCTGGCAGAAGGATTAATTCGGAAATCTTGTAGAGATCTGAAAAAATGAGTAAGGTCATGGGTGGATAAGAAGAAGTGAATAGGTAAAGGTGAACAGGAAAGAGCCAGTTCAAACACAAGAATTAGAAGGGCGTCAGATTAATTAATCGATGGAGCTCAGCGCAGACAAAGGAGGTACTTACTGATTTGCACAATGTGTAGTTAAATTTTGGAACTTCTTGCAATTAGATGTTCTGAATATCAGAACTTTGCAGAAGCTCAAACACAGTCAAATCCAGGTGAGAAAATTGAATTGAGAGATTAAAAAGTAATATACTGCCAAACCCCATGTCTGCTAAAACCCGTGTCTTCTTTAGAAGAGCATGCTGAGGAAATAAATTTTCTTTGTACGTTCGTCCTGAAGTAACTGCCGTTGGCTGCATTTGGAGACAGGACACTGAACTATTTTGTCCTTTAGTCTGATACAGTTTGATGTTTCCTAAAGCAAGGAATTTTCAGGCACATGTGTGCTTACTGTTGGTGCCACTCTGTTTAATGAGAAAACAGGACTGAAAGGAAAGCTGGAGTATTACTCTTCCAAGTACGTGCTGATGTAGTCCTTCATGCATATGTTCTGAACCTATGTCTGTCTTCTTGTATAGTAATGATAGTAAAAAAATATTGAGAAGATGCTAACACTGATAGACCATAACATGGGGGATGCAGGATTTGATTTCCTTTGGATTTGAACTTGGGAGCAACCACGTCTGTTAGTAGGACTTCCAACTCGGAGGCACAACAGTGCATAGTACCTGTACTTTTTATCTTCACTAGCTAGGAAAACGAGGCTGAATTTATCCTTCCTTTGAGAGAGAGAGCATTCAGTTCTGATGGAATAAAAAACCTGGCTTATTTGATTTCCTTTAGCATGCATTGTGCTAGCACAGGAAGTATTCCAGAGAGGCTACTTAAAAGGCAATAAAAAAATGTAGTGATGAGTATTTTAGAAGCATGAGCAGTAAGAAGAGGCACCATAAAGAGAGTGAGTTGCTTTAGTACAAATCCAGAAAGCAACTGGATTTTTGTTTCTGTGTTTTCAGTGAAAGCTAAGGTAGAGAAATAATAAGAATATTTGGTTATGTACTTGTGGTAAAGTGAAGCCTATTTAGTGTTAGCCATTAGAATGTTAACTTCTTGTTCCCTGAATGTATTGGTCAGATTTTTTTATTTAATCTGCTGCGTTGTTCTGTAGCTAGAAACTTGATATCTTTATTTTTTGTACGTTCAAAGAAAAATTAAAACAGAATCTGACATCAGCCTTAGTTTTTGTTGTATGCATTGCTTATAGATTGCTATATAGAGAAAGAACTAATTTAATTTGTTGCAGGAAAATGGAAGTAGTTTGTTACAGATAGGGGCTGCTTGTGTGTTCCCTTCTAAAGGGGGGTAGGAAGCTATGCCAGGCTGAAAGATGAGTGGAGCAGGGTCTCTGTGTCCTACAGTGCCTGCAGCATGCCTCGTGTACTGCAGCCTAGGTGGCTGTGTGACGTGAGTAGCAAGAGGAGAACAGCAGTGGGAAGTGGTCTTCAAGTGGTGCTCCTTAGTACATAAGATTTGTTCCAGTGACTAAACTGTATTTTTTTGTTGTTTTTGGAGAGAAGAGTGTTCTTACCTACGAATGCCAGAATAAAAGCCACTTGTCCTGAAAGGCTACATTCAGTAGCCTTTCAGCTGGGCAGGCACTCTGTCCACAGGTCACTCATTCTGTGGGTGTGTATTTTTCAAAATCCTCCTGTGGGATCTGTGAAAATTCTGCCCTCTAAAAACAGGTTGCTCTTGTTTTCTGTGTGTTCTTTCAAAGATTGTTAAGACTTTGAAACCTGACTGTTTGCCATAATTATTATGTTAAAAGAAAGGTGCAGAATGGGATGCCTATAGCATTTAAGACCTTAGTCTTTCCTGATTGTTTACATCAGTAGCATGTGGGTTTGTGAGTAGCACCTGGTTTTATATGAAGTACCTATGGGTATTTGGAAATAATCCTTTGATCACAGCCCTTCATAACCCTTTGTCTTTCTCTGCATAGCCCTTGACTGCAGGTAGGCCAGCAGAAGGATGATTAAATGCACTCTTTGAGACTTTCCCATGCAGCTGAAAAGATTATGATTGATCTGCAACCTCTTAATCTGACTAAATTCCCAGTCTGAATTTATTATATAGCAAGTCAGTGATTTTAACACCAGGAGAGCCCTTCACTCCTTGTCCACTCATACTGAATGTGCATCTACTTTATTAGCTGGCAGTATAAATAGAGATTAGGTGCAAGCACGTAATAATAGTTCTGTTGAGTCAGCTGGAGCATGTCTTAGCATTTATCTTGACTTTAGAAAGAAAACTGTATCTGATCTGGCACGTAGAAAGTTACCACTTTGAAAAGTGAAAAAATATATATCAATAGATTGTGCCAATTCTTGGCTTTCTGTTGTGCTTTTGTGGTATTTTGGACCAAAATTGTCTGAACTTTATGGGAACCTGGCCTGCCCTTTAGATGGTCTGAGCAGTTGGAGGCATCTGGATTTTGTAGTTATTCCACATGTACCTCATGGGATGCTGTGAGTCTAAAGGTAAGTGCTAACTAAGCACCAGTTCCAAGAGATCTTCTGGAGTTCTTGAAGAATTGATAAATGTAAAGTTAGTGTTAATTTAATTCGAGCTTTAGGAAGTTAGGAGGTTGCAACTTATTGGAACAGGCTCTTTTCCTCCCCAGCTTGGCTTAGTTCTGCTCTCTCTATGCAAGACAAAAATTAGGCTTCAAAGTGCTTCTTGGCTGCTTGAAACAGAAAATGCCCCAGGCATACCTTAGTGCATTTCTCTTTCTCAGTGGCTGTGCCTCACATGGGCACAGATGTTTTCAGTAGCTGTGGACTGTGTGAGCCAGGACAAACTTTGCCGTGCCAATAAAGAACATGGCTGTAAAGTTCTGAGGAGTGTGCTGCTTGCCAGAGGCCTTTATAGTCCATTTTGAGCCCAGGTCACCCTGTGCTGCAGATACCACAGCCTTTGCAACTGAAGCAATTAGTGTGTAGGTGAGGTAACAGCACTGCAGCAGCTTTTAATCCTCAGTTTATGCAGGTCTTGTTCCTGTCCCTGGATTAATCACTACTTTGTGCAGCTGTTCTGGAAAACGGGTTGGGGAACTGCTTTGGTTGTTCCACCTGCTAAACGCAAAATCAGCACAGCTAGAACATAGAAGTCACCCACTCCTCCTAGCTAGATCAGTCTGCTCTTTCCGTATACTGTCCAGCTGCACAGACTGCCCAATGCAGTGAAGAGTTGGGAATGAGTGATGGGAGGCAGATTTGCCTAGGGTGGTTCTGCTGTTGGGGGAGTGTCAGTAGGCTGTGGTCTGCTGCTTAACGTGTCTGAGGTTCCCAGACTCTAAACCTTCCCTTCACAGCAGAAATTGCCTAACTTCTCATCACTGTGATTGGTTGGTTGATTTTTTTCCCAGAGAGATGATAATTTCTAGAGAATATTTAAAAGTATAATTTTACTTGATAAAATATCGAGACTCCTTAGTTTAAGAATATAGTGCTGATCTTTTCCTGCCTTTATTTGCATGTGATTGGATAGTAGTACTTGAGATTGAAGTTACTAAGATTTTTTTCTCATTTGAGACTCTGTGTTGGTGTTATTTTTGTGCTACATTGTTCTCTTTGCTCTCTCTAACAGAATATATATGTACATATGTATATATATGTATGCATGTGTGCATGTATATGTATATAACAGCTCGAGAAGGGGGCTTGCATGAGCTTCATAAAGTTCAACAAGGCCAAGCACAAGGTCCTGCTCTGGGGTTGGGGCAACCCCTGGTATCAATGCAAGGTGAGGGAGGAAAGGACTGAGAGCAGCTCTGAGGGCAAAACTTGGGGGTGATGGTGGACGAAAGGCTGGACATGACCCAGCAATGTCTGCACTTGCAGCCCAGAAAGGCAATTCTGTCCAGGGCTGCAACAAAAGCAGCATGGGCACTATGTCAAGAGAGGGGATTCTGTCCCTCTGCTCTGGGGCCCCCAGCATAAGAAGGATGTGGACTTGCTGCAGCAGGTGCAAAGGAGGCCACAAAGACGGCCAGAGAGCTGGAGCACCTCTTCTGTGAGCACAGATTGAGAGGGCTGGGTCTGCTCAGCCTGGAGGGGAAAAGGCTCCAGGGAGACCTTACAGGTGCCTTCCAGTGCCTCAAGAGGGCTGACGAGAAAGGTGGGGACAGACTTTTTAGTAAGGGCCTATAGCAGTTGGACAAAGAGTAATGGTTCTAAGTGAAAGGAAGGTGGATTTAGACTAGATGTAAGGAAGAAATGTTTTACCATGAGAGTGATGAGGCACTGTCACAGGTTGCCCAGACAAGTTGTAGATGTGGCATCCCTGGAAGCATTCAAAGTGAGGGTGGATGGAGCTCTGAGCAAACTGATCTAGTTGCAGATGTCCTTGCTCATTGCAGGGGGTTGGGACTAGATGTCCATTAAGGCCCCTGCCAACCAAAACCATCTATGGCTCTCTGTTGTCTGCTATATTTATCTCATACTTTATTCTGAAGTAGTCAGGATAAAAGCATTTAAAGTATTTACTCATACACAATTTGTATAGAATTTTAAAATCTGCTTTCCTTTAATCTCTTATCTTTTCTTAGGTCCCCAAATACTTGTCACAACAGTGGAGTAAAGCTTCAGGAAGAGGTGAAGTGGGAAAACTAAGGATTGTCAAGTAAGCCTTTACATTTACTGGTTGCATCTTAGAAGTTACCTGCGTAAAATAAGAATATATTGCACCTGTTCTAAGACATAATCCTGTTTCTTGTCAACAATGTGCATATTTCTCTGATCCATGAACAGTATTTGCTTGTGTAGTGATTAGGAATATAAATTGTACAAAATTATACTGGGGAGTCACTCTGTCCCATTACATGAGATTTAATTTCCTAGGTTTAAGGAAACCTAACTGTGGAATTTGCTTTTATTTACATGTGTTATTTTGTTGCTTCTGTTCTCACATGCTGACTTTTCCCATTTATTCTTGGGCATCAGCATAACAAAAAATTGAACAGCTCAGGAGTGAAGATGGATAACAAAACTAGAATTTGAATTTGCTTTTTTATCAGGAAACCTAAACTTGAGGAATTAGGTTATGGAAATGTTGTTATATATTTTTAATATTTATATATTTATTAAATATCAAATATTTTCTTTTTCAGAAATCAAGGAAGAACGGAAGTAAGTAATTGCTAAAATTTATATTTTGAATTCTAAAAACTGTTTAGAATGTGCTGGTTTCTAATGTCACATATTTTTTGTTATACCTCTAGCGAAGCTTTGTACCACAGAATCAGGAGGAGAGAATTCTGTTAGTAGCTCTGCCCATAGATGCCTGTGGGACTTGGGTCAGGTCTCTATGTTCCCTCACTTTGTTTACCTTCTCTTCAAACATTTTGAGATGTGTCAGTACAGAAGGTTAAGGAGGATGCACAGAAAAAGCATGCGGTGCTGGTGTGAAGTAACCCTCTTCAAGTTCCTGGCTGTGGCCTGTGTCTAGGGATTCTGGTTATCCAGTTCCCCCTTCCTTAGCTTCTGCATTGGGAATACAATGTGAACATGGCAAAGAAGCTGTGCTTAAACCTCTTCTGGACTGTATTCAGACTGCAATTGGACTGCAATTCAGCAGTCCCAGGCTAGTAACACTTGTTGTAGTCCTTCAGCACTTTTCCTGGAGCTCACCTGGCTGTGTGAAACATTTTTCAGCACTCATACTGAGCAGTGGCTGAAAACCTATTATGCCATATATTTTAATAAGTAAAATCAAATTGTTCTCTGACTTCACGAGGAAGTAATTTATAACTTTTTTGAAAACTGAGTAAATTTTATTAAGTACATGAAAGCTTTGAATTCTATATTTCAACAACAGATTAGTATGGAAGGGCTCTTATATTACTCTTTATTTTTGAAATAGAAATGTGCTATACTACTTGTGCTTTATCTCTTTTTGTTTTCCCATAACTTGTGAAACAGTGTAATTGAGTCTGTTTAGTAACACTGTGGCAATTGTGACTGTTAGGTGTCATTTACTTTGAATGAAGAGCTTGCAAGCATCAGTGATATTGGAGGAAAGCCTGCTTCAGTCAGTGCACCAAGGGAACATCCATTTCTTCTGCAAAGTGTGGGAGGACAGACCTTAACAGTGTTCACAGAAACTTCAGTAGGTAAGTTAGGATTAAAGTTGTTATGACTCCAGTATGTCTGCTTTCAACAAATTCCGTGCTGTAAAAGACAGAAGACTCATAAGTCAGATTTTGGCCGTTTTGTTGTTTTCTGGCATAGATAACACTGTTGTAATTTTTTTGTCTGTCTGTTTACTTGGTGTGATCAAGCAACTGATTTAAGTTCTCCAGGGTTACCATGTACATTTCAGCTCTGAGTCTGCTGGAGAGAGCAGAGGGAACGTGGAATGCAATACAGAGTGCAGTACATTGTGTACATTCTCCTTTAAGGTTTTGACTGAAAAAAAATATGTTTTTGTGTTCCCATGTGTTTTTGTATGAACTAGTATTTAGTTTTTTCTCCGTGAATTGGTCTCTGCTGTGAATATAATTTTATAAGAATGCTGATTTTTCCTCTGTTCATTTTTTTTATTTAATCAGTTAAAAATTTTGCATTTCCTAGCAACTAAAAAAAGTTATTTGAGGGCCATGATTTACTGAATAGAAATTATTATATTAACTGGGAGCAAAGAGTAGTTAGTTACATGAGATATGATTGGGATGAAGCACTGAATAAGAATAGATCCAGTCAAAATTGGTTTTGTTTGAGATTAGCAAGCATAACATGCAGTCAATGAGTTTTAGTTTTCCTGAAACTGATTTAATTTTGCTGTTGCATTTAAGTTGGTACAGTGACAGTACAATCAAAAATATACTTTATTGTGCTTTCTTGCTTGACTATTTTTTGCTTTTAAAAATGAATGTGGCACAAATATTCCAAATTCCAGTCAGATTCCTTATAGGCACCATGTTTCTGAGGTTACAATCATGTGCTTAAATGTGTGGGCATGTTTTGAGCTCCATGTCCATTTTCGACAAATTTCAAAGTGAATTATGGCTAGTGGGAAAACAGGGAAAACAGTCCACTCCTGGAGAATGGGCTGTACAGATGTCCCAACTGAAAGAAAGTCTGCTACTGTATTGGATGCCAGAAAATCCCCATGGAAAAACCTACTATATTGACCACGGAAAAACGCTCAATAAAAACTTACATATCTTTGCACATCAGTCAATCCACAGTAAGGCAGTAATAGGAAATTGAAATTCATTCATTTCTAGGTTCACAGACAGTCTTCATATTATAATTAGCATATTCTTTTCTGAAAAGCATCTTGTTCCTTTTCTTTTTTTAAACTGCACCATGTAACACAAGCAGTATGTCAGTTTGAACCATGGGCCAAAGATTAAGCTGGTATGGAACTGCAGATGTCATCTAGAAGGGTGCAGTTGAGGAATTAGGATTAAAAAAGTGATTCAAGCACAATTTCTCTCAGTCAATACCCTTATTGAGGACTGACTTAAATCAACCAGACCAAATGGCATAAAGCAGTTGAGTTTGTTTTGTACAGGGTGGAGGTTTTTTTGGTTGCGGGTTTGAGATTTGTACCCCCCTCCACCCTTTTTTTGAGCACACTGAATGCCCTAAGGTCTGTTCTCTGTGTAGTCCTTTAACCCTGGGATCCTTATGTTGTAGTGACTGTCTTTTTGATGGCTTTTCTGAAATATGCTGTGATCTTGGAAGATGCTGTAGGCAGTTTATATATTCTGGATAATTCAGCACTTCATCTGACTCATCAGGTCATTTAGAGCAAGCTAAAAAGATCAAATTTGACAAGTAATTTAATATTTTCTGCATGATGTAATTTCTAGTCTACTGAATGGATTTTCTGTGGGTTTTGTTTTGCTTTGTCTTAACTGAACTTGTTTCTCCTATTTGTAGTGTTGGAAGAAATCCTTTTGTTCTTGCATTGTAAATACCTGCATCTCTGGTGGTCCCATATTTGTTAATGGACAGCAGTAGATTCTTCTAAGGTGCAATTTATTGTGTCCAAAATGTAATGAGTTGCAGTTTCTTGCTCTTCTGCAGTGTGTATATGAGCTAATAGGAGGCTTGGTATAGTGGCTCCCATCCCAGATACTGTTAAAAATCTGGCTGTGCTGGCTTTCACACGTGCTGCGTCTTCTGTTTGGATTAGCTCTGGGATTTCTCCCATTTATTTTCTTTTCTTTTTCTGTATTTTGAAATAGCTCAGTGAATAATACTGAGTCCTCTGAAGGTGGTAGTTGCAAAGTACCTCCCTAGTTCCTTTGCAAGGCTGTTACAGATGTGGACCTTGCATTGTCTTCATCGTGGGGCAGATCACTGAGGCCTGTGGTGGCGTTCCTGAGCACGAGTGTAGCAAAGCTGGTGGGAAGCATGGCTTCCGTCATGTCTGCAGAGGGATCCAAAGCACACTTGTCTCTTGCTGTCTAGGTCTTGCTGTCTAGGCTGGTTTTGGTATTATTTCTGCATTAAATATGAACTGCATTCTGTTCCATAAACATCACCATATGTACATCAACAGTTGCTATGCTACAATGCTATTTGTGCTTCCAGTCGTTTTATCTTATCTTTGTCATCAGCTATCATAGCTGTGGTTTTTTGGCGGGTGACAAGCAGAAGATTTTACATATGTTTTAATGGGTCTTATTGGACAAAATGAATTCTTCTTATGTGCATATGGCTAGAAACTATCTAGGGACAATTAATGGGCCTGATACATAGGGTATATTTGGTTAAAATTGTTTTCTGAGCTTTCCACTGCCAGACACCCTAGCATAAGATAACACTGTAATTTAACAATTTCTTTCTTGGTTGAAGAAATGGGAAGACACTTTTGTTAAACATTAAACTGCAAACTTTTCTGATTATACATTACTTCCCTAAGTACTTTAGTTGCCTGATGCTTAATTTTTCTGCCAGCACATAGTTTAGGTTTGCTGGATCTTGATATAAATAAAATTACAGTTTTGTTAGAGATAATGATAAGAGTTTCTTATTGAACTGGGTTTTGGAAAAATGTGCTACTAATATGACTTGTGAAAACATAGACCTTGGCAGACAATTCCATCTCAGACTGTAAAGGACTGATGGGTGGAGGAGAAGATTTTACACTGTAGACACAAATAAAGTATGAGATATTTCTGTAAAGTTGGATGAGATGATTCATTTTATTTAAATTTTGAATATATCTTCACAACTCCCCCTTCATAAGTGGGATAGCCGTAATGTCTATTTTCGCATCTTTAAATTTATTCTTTCATGCTCTTTCCATCTTACTGAAAGTAAAAAGTGTTCAGAAAATTCCATTGACAGAACACATACCAGAGCTTTGCTTCTGAGCAGCATTCATGCGTGGATTGTCTCACTGTTTCACGCTTCACAGAACATTGCTGGCTTTTAATATTTTGTTTTTCTTCTGTTTCCTGAGCCCTCTCCCCTTCAGAAGTTCAGTTTGTGACACTGAATTATTTTTTGTGTTCTTGTTCAATAATACATATAACTCTGCCTATATACCCAATAACAGCTCCTTTATTCTCACATTCCTTGAAAATTCTCCCATCGTATTGAATTGTTGGGGTTTTTTCCTTTATACAGCTTCTCATATATGAAAGGACCTTTTCTGTACATGTACATGTTGTACATGAATCACACTTACCATATAACATACAATGTCCAGTTGTATGAAAATGAATATTCAGACTATTCAGAGGTTCTTATTCTGTATTTTGTGTATATGTATTTTTAAGTATCAGCTATATCCAACCATTAAAGAAATGTGAAGGGAAGAAACCCTAATAAAAACCTTTCATTAAAGCAGTTACTTCTTTAATTGCACTTAATTATTCTCAGTAAAATACAGTGTGCTCAGAATCTTGATGCCTTGGAATACTGTTTCCAATTCTATTAGATAAGTGTTTGAATTCTGAAGTTCCTCATCAAACTGTTATTTAGGAAATAAACACCCTCACTCTTCTGCCATCTTACTGCAGCCTAATGAGGAGTTTTGACGTGTACCTGTCTATGTTCACAGTACTTTCCAATTATTTCTGTTCAGGCTGTCACTTAACCACATATTTCAGTCTCCAGAAGGTTTTGGGATCTAACCTAATGCTTCTTTGTTCTCTTATGTACTTCAGCCTTTTCTGGACTGTTAGCAGAAGCGGAAAACCTATCAGCAGCCTCACGATCAAAAGAAATAGAAGCAACAGCAGCCTTTCAAATCTATGGCATTTATGCAAATTTTCAAATATTTTTGAGAATCATTAAGATTAAACCCTTGATCAGAAAAGGAGAATTTGTGACTCAAGTTAGTTTAATTACGGGCATTATTTTGATGGCTCAAATTTTTGTGTGTATTATTGAGACGTACAGTCCATTTAGAAAACAATTGCAGTTGCTTACATCATACTCCTCCATCTCAAAAAAAGTGGAAATTATATTTATTTAATGACTTCATATGCATGTTGAAGGGTTTAAAAAGTATTGTAAAGCAGGTTCAGCTGGCTGGCAGGGACAAGCTAATTTTATTTTCATTTCTGCTGTAGAATTATAGACTGTTAATGCCTGTATAAATTTGAACAATCAAGGATATAACACACAAAATATCTATTAGAATGTGCTCAGTGTGATGGGGATAGTCTTCTTGCATACTTCATTGATTTAAAAGACCTTTTGTTTTCAGTCTCACTGATGTACATGTAAAAAACCAGCACCCTACCACCACCCACTTCAACAATGACAGCAAAAAACCCACTAACAACAAAAAACCCCAACTAACCAACCCCAATCTGTTGACATTTTTCAGTGATGTTTGTCAACTCTTGCATGTTGGAGAGGAGGCTGAGAAGCTGTAGTCTGCATTAACAAAACATATTAAGTAGACATAGTACAACTTCCTTTACCTTCTTCATTATGTTAATACTGAGAAGATTTTTAAAGCAGAACTTGTGACCTAATCATAACAAAACTGAATTGTCTAATTATGAGGACGAAAAATGCCACTGTTTTGCAAGACTTTAATTTTGTCTGGTATTTTGTCTCCACTGTCGAGGGCAGATACAAACACACACACTTTCTGTGTAGACATGAGATACATTTATTGCTAATCAGAGATGCTCTTAGCAATGTTAAAGTGTGATGTATTTGACAACAGTTTTGGTGAGGTAGCTCTGATCTTCCATTGCAACTGAGTTGAAATTGAACAGCTTCGAAGTCCAGTTGCATCTCACTTCTCACTTCAGACAGGTGTTTGTATCTTTGTATGTTTGTATGTTCTTCATTTCATCCTGTCTGCTTCTTGTGTGTGTACTAAATGTTTCCTTCTTTAAGCTACAATTGAGTTAGGGTATTGGTTGGACATTTATTTTATGTCATGCTGTAAACCTGCCAAATATGCATAAAAAATAATGTCAACAAGAAAATACTTGGTTTTCTGTGAACAGGCTACCCTGGATGTATGTCTGAAAGTTGGAAGGGATCTTTACTCACTTTGTGAATACTCGTGACTGGGAAGGAGCCATATAATGATTGTTTCTCATAGAGAAAGCAGGTGCCTTCATCTTCGAAGACTAATGACAGCCACCTGGTGTAAAGAAAGGAGGAGCTTTAAGATACTGGCTCTTATGTTTGCATTTAGTCCTCAGGCTCTCAAGCCACGTCAGTGTGAAAGGAGGGACAGGAGCCTTCAAAGCCAGCAAGAATCAGTGGCAAGAAAAAGATTTTCTAAAATATTTCATGTTTTCAGTTCTTTTAATACCCAGCCTGTAAATGGCAGAAATTATCGACCTAACTGAACTCGAAAATTACTCTCTGAATTAGGGCAGTAATTCACTCTTGCCTGTAAGTAAATAGCCTGTAATGACAGCTGTAACTTGCCTGAGTTGAAAGCAAAGGACAAGTATGTTTTGCCATTTCTAACTGTGTTTCAGGGAGGTGAAAATGTTCTTTTTGTTCTCTGCATCAGAGGATGCATAAAAAGCAGAAATATAGGAGGCCAAATATAATAGTGACAAATTAATGGAGGGGTTTAATATTATAGGACTTGGTAGGGATTACAGCTCAGGTTGCCACAATACCTCTACTGGCAGCCATTTCTTGAAATGTGGGATTGGAATTTCTTGCAGAAAGCAATCAATCTGACTCTGCCATTCACCAGAGTGATGATTTTTAGCAAGTCACATTGCAACACTGTGTCTGTTTCATACCTACTTATGATTCTCTGCTACATGGAACAGGAGATGTTTTTGATTATGTGTTTGTATTGTACTTGACAAATACTTAAAAAAAATACCAATGGACTATAGTACCATTTGAGGACAAGTAATCAGAGAAGAAAAAGCTTGAAGAAATAAATTCCTCCATGGCCTGTAGAAAGGGTAGAGAAGAGGTCAAAAATTTGCCTAATGCCAATTAAGAACGTTCTTTTGCAGAACCCTGATTATTTTTGTAATATACAAAAGTATTTGTTTGTGTAGACTGACCAGTGAGATAAATTAATAACGTACATTGCTTGAGCATAATCCTGCTACTGATTTTATATAAATGTGTATCTTCATTCTTGCAGAGCTCAGTCAGAGGTGTAATAGAGTTCACTCATTTAAGTTGTGAGTTTGGGCATTAAAGGACTTTTTTGTTGGTGTTGCATCTGCTAGCAAATTATTCCTCAGAAGGTATATTTATAAACATTAATCAAATCCAGTAATTTTGATTATATAACAATTTATCATTCTTTACTTTGCAACCCAGTCGTTAGATATAATTTCAAATAATCAACACAGAAGCGTTATGATTACTTTTATGTTTATTTTTTTTCCAGAAAACCAATCAGAAGAAAAATCAGAAAGCGGCAGTGCTGGTGAGTAAAGACAATTTCTTTGAAGCACTTAAGAAATTACTTATTACTGCAGATTTTGACTTTTGCTTCTCAAGAACTTGTTAGATTAAAAAAAAAAGTGTCTTTTTTGTTATATTTTGTAGACTATCATAACATTAAAAAATAACTTCATAAACTGTTATCTGCTGTGCCCAAAAGTTTAGATTAGTCATATTTTTATTTAAAAGAAGGGGAATAAAATGATGAGGGAGTGGCTTAGAAATGTATTTTTTTTTTAATTATTTGTCTGCATTTAGTTTGAATTCTTTTCTTTTGGTTGGAAAGTTTGTAATACATTTCCAGATCTTTCGTTATTTGTTTCCAATTGCATAAACTAAGCAGTCATAAAAATAGTCCATAAAAAATAGGATAATCTCTGATGCACATGGATTAAATAGTACTGGGACTGGAGTGGCACTTGTTAAGTGGTAATGGCACAGATAGGAGATGGCTCAAGTGAAAGATGTGAAAGAGTTTCAAACTCCTACTTTTCTTAAAAGCATTACCGAAACATAAGTTTAATGCTAGTGGGTGTTTTAAATACCTTCTTGAAAATACTTTTTGGACACTTCAACATAGAGTCATCCACTTTTTCTAATGTCTGACTTCTTTGAATTGCACTTCAGCATCAAATATTGCCAAAAGTAAATAGTTTTCACCTGGCTAGAAGTAGGGTTTGGGTTTTGTTTTCTGTAGCAGGGAATTTTTTGTAAAATTGAGATTCCTTCTATTACATTGGCCTAAGCATGTCAGAAGACTGGTGTTAGGGATGTTATAGTCTGCAAACTTGTACTGAATCCAAGGTGTGTTTTATAGCTTGCAATTCTTCTCAGTTAATTGGTAAAACCTGTTCACTCTGATTTTGTATGAATTGTGATGCAGTTTTCAGGTGAGAAGGGCTGCTTCTTAGAGATTGGCATTTTGTACCACTTGAAAACTGATTCACTGCTGTGCAGGGTTTCGTGTAAATCAGATACTGACATTTTAACTGCTAAAATGATCCAGAATTTCAATACTTCTATTTAGTTGGTTTTTTAGATGTAAGGGTGCACTCTTGGTTTTGCTTGGCTTTTGTGGTTTGTTTTAATTCCGTTTGTGTTTGAATGGTTGAATTGTCTGCTCTTCACTTGGTGCCTCCTCCGTGTTCTGTGAATGTTGTGTAAGATAGCCACGTGTTTAGTTGTTTGTATTTTTGCTTCAGCCAGAAGAATGAATTACTGTATAGTGTGAGCTGTTTACATATGCTGACAAGAGGAGTTTTAAACTCATTTGATGGAATCAAACTGGTTATGGATTCACTCTCTGAGTGATGGTAGATGGTTACCCTGGGGCATATAAAGGAGGACTCTCAGCCATCAGTTACACTATTTGCTTATTCACTTTTTTCTCAAAATCATTGTGGAACTCAGATGACCTGTTCCAAACTACCTCTCAGGTAATTCAGATTGTTTAGTACTCAATTTTTCTGTTAATCTACTGTTTCTTGGCCTATATCAAGTACTTTTGAGGCAAAGATGATGCCTTTTATATATTCATTTAGCATCTTAGCATAACAAGATCCTTTTGGGTCTTACTGAAATAAAATATGTAAGGTTTATTTATAGTTAGAAGTAAAGTAAATGAGATACAACATTCAGAAACCATTTGATTTACATTCTTAAAAGATTTTTACATTGGTAAGGTGCTGTCGAAAATCCTTAGTATTATGTATGACATTTTTAATTGCATTTATTTTTGGGATAGTTGTAACCCACCTAGAAAAGCCATGATAGTGTTGCTACTCTAAGTGATTCTGTTTGAGAGAGACTGTGAGTGATACTGGATCATCTGGCTGGTGTCCTGTCCTTGGTGGTGGCTGGCATCAGATACCTTGAGATGAGTGTAAGAGCAGTGTAGAAGCACAATGGTACCTCCCAAGATACTTCTCATAGAATCATAGAACAGTTTGGTTTGAGAAGGACCTTTAAAGCTCACCTAGTTCAACACCCCTGCAATGAGCAGAGGCATCTTCAATTAAAACAGGTTGCTCAGATGCCTGTCCAACCTAACCTTGAATGTTTCCAGAGATGAGCATCTGCCTTCTCTCTGGGCAACCTGTTTCAACTTCTTCCAGCCTTTAATGATTGACAGCTCAGGGAATTTCAGAACCAGAAGTGATGGTGTTTTACTTAGCAGGACCTCATGGATTTTTCTTCTATGAAGTCTCCCTGTTGGTTGAGTCCATGAAAAATCTTTAGTATCCATAATACCTCTAATGATGTTTACAGTCAAAGTATTCAGGATTCAAAACACACATGAGACAAGATTCCTTAAATTAAATTTGAATTCCTTTTGCATTTTATCATTTTAGATCCGTTTTTCCATACAGAAATCCTATTTGTTTAGAGCTTGTGATAAATAGTGCTTGGTGATTCAGCTAGTGTTGTTTAGTGCCTGAAGGCTGGTTTATGCTAAAAGTGAAAGGAGCATAGCAAATGACACACTAAGCTAAAGGAAAAGAGAAATGAGGATTGGCTTTGCTTGGTCCTATATGAGGATGAGCAAGCAATTTAAATCCAAATATGTGCATGTGGCTCTTGTTTGTTTATGGCATTGCTTGCACCTACCTGAAAGTGCTGTCAGTGGTGACAGAAGCTGTGAAAACCAAGCATTTGTGCCAGTATAAAGTGTGACCTGCTCCCCTCCAATAAAAATACTCAGAAGCTGCTGCTCTGAGCCAGTGTAGTCTGCTGAGAATGATACAGTAAAGAAATGCATTCTCATGCAAGAGCAAATGCAATTAGGTGCTGTCCTTGTGAAAGTACATTATATGGAAGCTGCATGGGCAGCAACTGAGTGTATAATGTTGCCCAACCTTTGAGCTTGTAGACAGACAATGTAGGGTGAATTTAGTATTAAAATTTTACCAGTTGTGAGTGTATGAGTGTGACTGCAGACACAAATATACAACACTCAAACTGTTTGTAGATACCACTTCCTTAATTTCTTGATACTGTAGTAAAAAAAAGGATTCACATGTTGATTATACATATGTTGGAATATTTGAAATTCATTGATAACCACTGGACTCCATGTGATAAAATCAGCAATTTTCTGGTAAAGACACAGACTTTTTATAGTATAACATGGGATGGTATAAAGCTACAAAATGCACATATGATTTTATCCTCTTTCAAGCAGTTAACATATATTAATTAAACTTCAAAAGCTAAACTCTAACTAAATGATTGTCAGGAGGAATAAAACAGTAACTTTTAATTTAAATACTAGCTTACAACTCAGTGTTGAAGATAACTTAGATGCGGATTCTGCCATTTTCAAGACATGGAAACAGTTTTTGTCTTGAAAATGTGACAGGGTTTGTTGGCAGATAAATACAACACAAATTAAAATACAAGCTTCCCAGTAGCCTTCCAGGAGCCATAATCTGTGTGACAGTCCATTTATAGTAGCAATGATTCCTGCTTTAAGGTATATGTAGTCAAGGCCTGTGGTACTGGTTATAATAAATATTGTGGAAGAACAGAGAAGGTGCAGTGGTAGAGTAACAAAAGGATGCAGATTTAATGTAGGTCAGCACTAACAGGAATTAATTTTTTTGAGAATTTATGTAAATGTCCTTGATGTCCTTAAAGTCTGGCTATTTATTTTAGTATATTGTATGAATAGTCTAACATGTATGTCTGAGCAAACTAATGTATTTGTTGTCATACAGTTTCTCTCCTGAGAACAGAACATGATACAAAACAATGGCAGTTAATCCATGACTATATTTTATCCTTTTGTGATGTCCATGTCCAGCTTGTAGAAGTACTGAAGTAAACTGAAGGAGCGTGCTTCTGACTTGTAACAGAGTTCTTGGTTTTCCTTATGACTCTTGAGAAATCCTAGGAATCTTAGCTACGCCAGGCATTAGAGATCATGACTTCGTAAATTGTGTTTGTCTTCTATGAGGTATTTTGCTGATTACTGCAGTTCACCCACCTACCAGCATGATCACATTTGATGGGTTCAGACTTTTGGAGTGTTGCAAATTCAGAGCCTGGAATGATGGATCAAAGGGGCAGAGGAAAATCAAATGTTTTCTGTCTCGGCCAGTACAAGACTGACATGTAACAGATGTAAGGCTTGCAGGAGTCCGTTTCAAAGTAAATAAAATGAGGTGGTTCTGCACTCAGAATGTAATTGAATTCCTTGACAGAAGATGTGGACATAAGGGTGATATTTGCTAAAGGCTGACACAACCTTAGAGGAGACCAGAGGGATATGAAAGATCATAGAATGATAGAATAGTTTGGGTTGCCTTAAAGACTTTAAAGATCATCAGGTTCCAACCCCCCTGCCATGGGCAGGGACACTTTCCACTACACCACGTTGCTCAGGGCCCCATCCAGCCTGGCCTGGAACACTTCCAGGGATGGGGCATCCACAATTTTCCTGTGCAGCCTATTCCAGTGTCTCACCATCCTCACAGTAAAGTTTCTTCCTAATATATAGTCTAAATCTGCCCTTTTTCTCTTTTGAGAAGCTTTTGTCCCTTGTCCTATCATTACATTCCCTTGTTGAAAGTCTTTCTCCTGTAGTCCCGTTTAGCTTCTGAAAGGTGCTCTAAGGTCGCCCTGGAGCCTTCTTTTCTCCTGGCTGAACAACCCCAACTCTTTCAGCCTGTGCTCATAGGAGAGGTGCTCCAGCCCTTTGATCACCTCTGTGGCCCTTCTCTGGACCTGTCTAGCAGGACTGTGTCCTTCTTATGCTGGAGACCCAGAGAGTGGAGAGGGGCAGAATCCCTTCCCTCACCCTGCTGGCTACTCCTCTTTTGATGTAGCTCAGGATACAATTGACTCTCTGGGCTGTGAGCTCACCTTTCTGGGTTATGTTGAGCTTCTCATCAACCAAAATCCACCTAAGGGGACTAAGATCAAGAGGACATCTGATTTGAGAGACCCCAAGCCACAAAAGCCAGGTGGACACTGGGGTGCATA